CTAACGCAGGTTAGGGGGAACACTGGTTGTACCCCCCCTTTTTTCAGAATTCCAAAAGCCCCCCCCCCCCAGGCTCCGAAATGGTTGGGGACCAATTCTCTCTCTAAGCCGTGGAGTCTTGTGAGCAAACTTGGTGAGCTGCTGGTATTGAAGTTGTGCACGAGCGATTTGGCTGCTGCATAAATTAGTCTGCTCTGGAGCCCTGCTTCCTGAGCTGAAGCAAAAATGCATGAGCCAGAGCCTACAAAACTGTGAGTTAGCTCACACTAACTCAGCTTAGGGGGCACACTGGCTGGGAAGCTGTTCCATTGTAGATTTCTAGCTTCTTACTATCCACCCACTTCTAAAACCTAGTTAAAATCATTTCTTGGTGTCATAAGTAAAGGTAAAGGTTCCCTTGCTCGAAAGCCAGTCGAGTCCGACTCTAGGGTTGCGGTGCTCATCTCCGTTTCAAAGCCGAAGAGCCAGCGCTGTCCGAAGACGTTTCCGTGGTCATGTGGCCGGCATGACTAAACACCAAGGTGCACGGAACGCTGTTACCTTCCCACCGAAGTGGTCCCTATTTATCTACTTGCAATTTCTTGCTTTCGAACTGGAAGACAGAAATATGAGAGTGTTCCTAGAGAAAAGGTAACCCGCCCACCCCCCAGTTTTATCAGTGGAATTTCGGAGAATTTGTTTTAAAGCTCCTATTTAAAGTGACCCCATCTGTTACAAACAGACTTAACTTTCTCCAGTTTACCACCGTTGTCTTTCTCCTTTCTTTTCTCTAGGGCGGGGAGCGTCCGAAAATAAGCCTCCAGGTTTCCCTGTATCTCCTGTCGCAAGTACGTGTTCCGCGTTTCTAGGCGGTGTGCGGTGTCTCGCTGAGAACATCAGCGATCTTACTGGCAGAATCACAGGTTGGGGAGGGATGTTTCGATACTCCTCTAGCACTTGCAGAGCGCCCGTTACTGGAAAGACGTGGTTGCTGCCCCCATAGCCTGCCTTCTTTCAGAGGGGGAGAGGTGGGGATTTGCAGTGAGGAGTGGGAGAGGGTGGTCTGAAGTGACTGGACAAACAGATCTGGGGGCGAGGGGCCGCGGCCCAGCTTCTAATCCGGCACTCTAACCACTACATCACGCTGCTTTGGCTAAGGAGCATACTACCTCATTTGGTGTCATGTTTGGTGTACTGGTTAAGAGGGTGGGCTCTAATCTGGGAGAACCGGGTTTGATTCCCCGCTCCTGTGCTGGTGTGACCTTGCATCAGTCTTAAGTTCCTTCAGAGCTGTTCTCTCAAGGGCAGTTCTCAGGAGAGCTCTCTCAGCCCCGCCTTCCTCACAGGGTGTCTGTTGTGGGGAGGGGAAGGGAAAGGAGATTGTAAACCGCTCTGAGAGCCCTTTGGGTAGTGAAGGGCGGGGTATAAATTCAATCTCCTCTTCTTCTTCTTCTTCTTCTTCTTCTTCTTCTTCTTCTTCTTCTTCTTCTTCTTCTTCTTCTTCTTCTTCTTCTTCTTCTTCTTCTTCTTCTTCTTCTTCTTCTTCTCCTCCTCCTCCTCCTCCTCCTCCTCCTCTTCCTTGAAAAAGAGCAGTTTCTGTAAAGAGCTCTCTCAGCCCCGCTTTCCTCACAGGGTGTCTGTTGTGGGGAGGGGAAGGGAAAGGAGATTATCAGCCGCTCTGAGACTCCTTCGGGTAGTAAAGAGTGGGGTATAAATCCAGTCTCCACTTCTTCTTTGTGCGGCTGGTGAGGGGCCGTGTGTTGGATTTAAAGAAAACAAATCACAAATGCTCCCTTTAAATAGAAAGGTAGCCCCTCAGCAAGAAGGGATTAGGCTGTGGATCACTTGGGACTGATGAGCTAGCTTTCTCTCCCAGGGGAGTTTTGTTTGGGGGAAACATCTGACGAGTGAGACGTCAACGTGAGCGGGGCCAGCGGTGTTGCGTTGCCCCTGCTGTGGGTCTGACTTGGGACAGAGACTGGCGGCTGAACAAAGTGCCAGGAAAGCGCTCTGCAGCACGCGGAGGCCGATCGCTCAGTTCCATTCTCACGTTCCCTTCTTGCCTCTGTCTCTCCCGCAGGTTTTCTTGATTATCCACAATGCACCTCTGGTGAATTCCTTGACCGAGGTCATTCTGAATGGAGACCTCTCCGTGTTTTCGGCAAAAGTGGAACAGGATGTCCAGAAAAGCTCAGTAAGTTGAGAATGCCACCTCGATTAATTTTTGCTAGATTCAAGCCCCATAGCACCTAAGACAGCAACATTTTCAGGCTCCACGCTTCCAAGACTCAAAGCTCCCGTCATCGGAGACCTTGAACCAGGAGTCCACAACCTCTTTTTTTTAATTAACTTTTAGATAATTAACAAACAAGTAGCACCAGGGGCCATTTCGTAGAAAAAGAGGTGCAGGAGCTCATTAGCATATCTCATTAGCATGTGCCACACCCCCTGACATCACCGGAAGTGTGTCAGAAGGCAACACCCACCGCTCAGGCTCCACTGGACTGTTCTGGATTGCTAGCTATTGGGGGGGGGCGAATGTGCAGATTTGTCCTCGCAGAGGAGGGAGGGCTTGAACCTGAATAAAACTTGGTCTTAAAGATGCCACTGGACTGTTTTGGGCCGGGGGGAGCTCTGCAGCTTACCTGGCTGCTTCTTGCTCTGACTGAGGACTGCTGGGAGCAGGGGGTGGGGCTTGTTGCATGTGCCCACCCACTGGGCTCTTTACTGCCGGAGCTCTGCTCCTGTGCGCTCCTGCAGGAAATGACCCCTGAGTAGCACTGTAAGTGCACTGTGTTTGAATAGAATAGTATACATACAGTGCGTAAAGCAACATAACATTTTATTTATTTATTTATTTATTTATTATTCCAATGTCTATCTCACCTTGCCGGATAAACTGGCCCGATGCGGCGTACAGACGTTAAAATGCCATAAAACAATAAATACAATAAAATTCACATGAACGTCATAAAGTGCTAATAAGAACAATAGAGGTGATGGCGGCATTCAGTATACAATCCAATGGCGGGAGGCAATATCCAGCGGTGTATCATAAGGGCCCTGAGATGTTCCGGTGACATGTTCCTCAGTGGCGGCTCCTAATCAAAAGCCTGGCGGAAGAGCTCCGTCTTTCAGGCCCTGCGGAACTGCAAAAGGTCCCGCAGGGTCCTGATGTCCTCCGGGAGCTCATTCCACCAGTGTGGAGCCACCACTGAGAAGGCCCTGGCCCTGGTAGAGGCCAACCTTGCGTCTTTCAGGCCGGAGAGAGTCAGGCGATTTTGCGACCCTGACCTCAGTGCTGTCTGGAGACCAAACAGGGGAAATGGAGACATAACAGCGTAACATTGCACTGGTTAATTGAGCAAAAGTCAGCCTACCTGACCTATATTGAAATTATAGCTGCGTGTTCACTCTGTAGATCAATAAAGAACATCATATTCCAAGATCGACCACTAATTGGGGAATCTCCCCTTGAGACAGCAAATATTCACGTATAGGTAACCACATAGAAGAAAAATGAGACCGTCTAGAGGGGCTAAGCATGTTATCCAGATTTTCTGTGAGCTTCGCCATGATATATATTTTCCATAATTTTTGATGCCACTGAGAAATTGTAGGAGATTGTGAAGATTTTTGAGCCTCTGGGCGCCTTTGGGATTCTGACATAGTGTGGTGGGCGCAGCCACAAAATGGCTGCCGCGAGAGGCGGAGCTAGCCACAAAACAGCTGGCACGGTGAAGATCTCAGGCTGGGGCAAGTGATGCACTGTATTCTTGGTGCTTGGGGGGGCAGCAACAGTGGGAGGGCTTCTAGTGTCCTGGCCCCCCTGCTGGACCTCCTGAGGGCACCTGGTATTTCTGGCCACTGTGTGACACAGAGTGTTGGACTGGATGGGCCATTGGCCTGATCCAGCATTGGCTTCTCTTATGTTCTTATAGATAAGCATATAGAGCAGAGGTCCATCAGTGGCCCCTATTAGCCACAAAGGATAGATAGGAACTCTCGGTCTGGGGCAAGGGATGTTCTCTATTCTTGGTGCTTGGGGGGGGGGGTCAACAGTGGGAGGGCTTCTAATGTCCTGGCCCCGCTGCTGGACCTCCTGATGGCACCTGGTACTTTTGGCCACTGTGTGACACAGAGTGTTGGACTGGATGGGCCATTGGCCTGATCCAGCATTGGCTTCTCTTATGTTCTTCTATGGAGCAGAGGTCCATCAGTAGCTATTAGCCACAAGGTATAGATAGGAACTGTCAGTCTGGGACAAGGGATGCTCTGTATTCTTGGTGCTTGGGGGGCGGGGGCAACAGTGGGAGGGCTTCCTTTGTCCTGGCCCCACTGATGGACCTCCTGATGGCACCTGGTATTTTTGGCCACTGTGTGACCGAGTGTTGGACTGGATGGGCCTTTGGCCTGAACCAACACCGGCTTCTTTTATGTTCTTCTCCTTGCGTTTGGAAAATAATACTCTATCTAGGCCTCGTGGCCGTGTTGTGAAGCATGGGCGATGACCGGAGAAGGCGGAGGAGCTGGGCTGCTTCTCCTTCTCCTTTGCCAGTCCAGATGTTGCTCTGGCCTTCGTCAGGAACTTGAATCTCTTTATTTTACTTTATCTTTCGCCTTTCTCCTCACTGAGGACCGAAAGTGGCTTGCATTGTTCTCTTCTCCGCTGTTTTCTCCTCACAACATTATTTAGGGCCGCCCTTGATTAATTTACTTGCGGCCCTGAATTGTGATTTAAAAATTTGTTTTTTATGTTTTTTTTCTTTTAGGTATGCTACCTTTGTAGTCAGCCGCTCTGAGCTCCCTAAGGAAGGAAGGCGGCTTATAAATGTTTTAAACAAGTAAAGGAGGAGGAGGAGATTGGATTTCTACCCCGCCCTTCACTACCCAAGGGAGTCTCAGAGCGGCTTACGAACTCCTTTCCCTTCCCCTCCCCACAACAGACACCTGGTGAGGTAAGGTGGGGCTGAGAGAGCTCTTTCGAGGATTGCCCATGAGAGAACAGCTCTGAGGGAACTTGTGTCAGTCCAGCAGCTGCAAGTGGAGGAGGAGTCAAATCCGGTTCTCCCAGATTAGAATTCACCGCTCTTATCCACTACACCAAACTGGCATAGTGGGAGGGGCTTCTAGTGTCCTGGCCCCACTGCTGGACCTCCTGATGGCACCTGGTATTTTTGGCCACTGTGTGACACAAAGTGCTGGACTGGATGGGCCATTGGCCTGATCCAACATTGGCTTCTCTTATGTTCTTAATATGGAGCAGAGGTCCATCCGTGGCTATTAGCCAGAAGATGTAAATAGAAACTCTCCGGCTGGGGCAATGGATGCCCTGTATTCTTGGTGCTGGGGGGGGGAGCAACAGTGGGAGGGCTTCTCGTGTCCTGGCCCCACTGGAGGACCTCCTGAGGGCCCCTGGTCTTTTTGGCCACTGTGTGACACAGAGTGCTGGACTGGATGGGCCATTGGCCTGACCCAACACTGGCTTCTCTTATGTTCTTAATGTGGACCAGAGATCCTTCAGTGGCTATGAGCCTCAAGGTATAGATAGGAACTCTCGGTCTGGGGCAAATGATGCTCTGTACTCTTGGTGCCGGGGTGGGACAACAGTGGGAGGGCTTCTGGTGTCCTGGCCCCACTGCTGGACCTCCTGAGGGCCCCTGGTATTTTTGGCCACTGTGTGACAGAGTGTTGGACTGGATGGACCATTGGCCTACCAGGGCTCTTTTTGTAGCAGGTACTCATTTGCATATTAGGCGACACACCCCCTAATGTAGCCAATCCTCCAAGAGCTTACAGTAGCCCCTGTAAGAAGAGGTCTGTAAGCTCTTGGAGGATTGGCTACATTAGGGGTGTGTGGCCTAATATGCAAAGGAGTTCCTGCTACACTGGCTTCTCTTATGTTCTTAATATGGACCAGAGATCCTTCAGTGGCTATGAGCCTCAAGGTATAGATAGGAACTCTCGGTCTGGGGCAAATGATGCACTGTACTCTTGGTGCCGGGGATGGGGGGGGACAACAGTGGGAGGGCTTCTAGTGTCCTGGCCCCACTGCTGGACCTCCTGATAGTCCCTGGTATTTTTGGCCACTGTGTGACACAGACTGCTGGACTGGATGGGCCATTGGCCTGATGCAACACTGGCTTCGCTTATGTTCTTCTCTTTGTGCCGTGGTAGCCGTTGCTGTCAAAGCAACGTTTTTCAAAAATATGTACAGCCGACCGGAAGCCTTGCTGGGCAAAACCTCCACCTGGCCGCCCACTTTCTAAAAACAGGAAAGGTTTCAGTGGGCGTTCGGAACGCCTGCCTTTTGCTCTTGAGCGCTTCTATCCCGAAAGTTCCATTGGTCTCCAAGGTGGACTTGAATTGAGCCGTTCTGCTGCCGACCGGCACAGCTCACCGGTGAAACTTGATTAAGTCAGTCTGCCGCGTAGCACACTTGTCAGAACGAAGCACCCTTGTTCGTTTGAGGCTAACGATCAGAACACTCGTCATTCTTGCAAACGCCTCATGCGTTTTTACCTTAATGTTTCTGCGTTCGCTTACGGTGGGCCAAAGGTTCCCCTGTGTTTGGTGCACCCTCGTGTTGTTGTGTTTCTTCGTCAAGCCAGGAAGCCCGCCCTGTTCTCACATGCCGACGCCGAGAGATGAAAAAGATCTCTTAGCCTCTGAAAGCGACCTTGTCTCCCTAGCACATCAGCGCACGCTGGGTTGGCTCACCCACTTTTCTTTAATTGGGTTTTATTACTAGGAAATCTGCGGTTTCTGCCGCCGCGGAGCCGTTTCCCCTGAACCTGTTTTGCAGAATTTCTTGGGCGTGAGGTGTTGGTCTTTTTTTCTTTCTTTCTTCAAGACTGTTTTGGGTGAGTGTTTTGGACAAACTGCTGTTGCTAGTGTGGGTTTTGCAATACCCAAAAAAACAACAACCATTCTTAAAAAAAAGGGAGAAAGAAAGCAGAAGTGTTCTAGTACTTCTTCTGGGGCACCGCTTCCTATTGTCAGAGATTATTTAAAAAACAGAAAAACAACTCTGTGGTCTCCAAAAGCAGAAGGCAGCACTGTTTGCTAAGCAGCACTCACTAAGTAGGGCGCTGGCGAAATCTCGCCGGCTCAGCACTTCACCCGCCGTGCTAAGTGAGGAGCCAAGAGGCTTGCTGTAGGGCCAAGCAGTGGAAGCCCTTGCCGGAGGAGACC